CACTGGAGGTCGTGGTGCGTGTGTTATGATCCACAAAGTAGCGCACTCCCTCACGAGTGTAACGAATCTCCCAGCCCTCAGGGAGCGGGTCCTCGTTCTGCAGCCTGATACACACACACACACACACACACACAGAGAGACACAGAGAGACACACACACACAGAGAGATACACACACACACACAGATACACACACACACACACACACACAAACACACAGACAGAGAGATACACACACACACACAGAGATACACACACACACACACAGACAGAGATACACACACACACACAGACAGAGAGATACACACACGCGCACACACACACACACACAGTATATTTAAAATATATTAATTTAATATATTAATTGTAAAATCAAATGTGTGTGTGAGTGTGAATCTCTGTGTGTGTCTCTGTGTGTGTGTGAGTGTGTGTGTGTGTGTGTGTGAGTGTGTGTGTGAGAGAATGTGTGTGTGTGAGAGAGTGTGTGAGTGTGAGTGTGTGTGTGTGTGTGTATGTGAGAGAGAGTGTGTGTGTGTGTGTGTGTGAGTGAGTGTGTGTGTGAGCTCACCGAGCTGCAGGTGAACGATGGCTGCGGTTTTATCGGCCGTCAGCGCCCAGAGCTTCAGCTCCTCCACACACTCCACATGCTGCAGCTTCAGCAGATCAGCTCTGATTCCAGACACGTCCACATGACGCGGAACACCTGCAACACACACACTCCGTCACTGTTCCGGACTGACATTACACTCCGAGAGACAGAAGGACAGGTAAGACAGACAGACGGACGGACGATCAGGTGTCTCACCCTCCAGCAGAATGATGCCGGTGTCTCTGATGATCTGGATTGTGCTGAACAGCACCAGTATGGAGAACAGGTATGTACAAATGGGATCGGCCAGCTTATACTCCGGCTGACACACACACATAGCGGCGTGTTATTATCATCATAAACTCAGTTCAGACATGTGACACAGACAGAATGAGCTCTGCAGGTCGTACCTTAAACCTGACGATGTACGCAGCGATGAGCACACCGACGCTCTGAACCAGATCACCCAGAGCGTGGATGAAGGCCGCTCGCACCGCCAGACTGCCGTGACCCCGCTGACCCTGACCCCGCCCCGGTGACCCGTGAGAGTGGGTGTGGCCATGTGAATGAAGATGACCGGACTGATTGAGGAGGAAGCCCATCCTACACACACACACACACACTCATGGAACACAGCAGCGACTCATCCTGAGGAGTGAAGGATGAGCAGCTCCAGCGGACTTTCAACTCGAACTAAAGCGCTTTATGAGCCACAACCATAAAGTCACATGAATTAAACAGATACCAGAGCATCAGATGAGCAGGTGATCCATCCATCAAGACACTTCAGAACCATCCTAGACCAGTTCTGCTGGGTTCTTCAGTGAGTTATCACTGTTCTGATCAAAAGTAACTTTCATGGTGCTATACATTAGTCCATATCTAGTCATCTTGTTCTATCATTTATGGAAGGCTATGTTTGGATGTAACTTGCAAAGATGCTGTTATGTCTAAACAGTAAACATGTAGATTTGTTCACAGATGCTTTTCCAAAACACACCTGTGTCGAAACTTTGCATGCACATTCATGACCCTAAATAAGAAAAATTCACTAAAGAAATAAATGATTTAAACAATTTTCAAGCAATTGTGGGTCAAACTGACCACAACACAACAGGACTTTGAGTTTGAGTTTTATTAGACAAAATGAAACCAGCGCCTTCAGTTGTAAAACTGTGTGACCGAAGGAAAATGAATAGCATCAGAAAATAAAGCAGCTTTCATTTAGTCATTTCTGTGTCTACAGACTTCTTTAGATTCTTTTACAAGCAGGAACAAAGCCAGCCATGAAGAGGAATCTAAGCTCATTACACTGATTGAGTCAATATGAAAGCTTGTTTCTGCCATGGGATATAAAAAATGAAAAAGGTAATCACGACCTTTTATCTCAAAACTTAGGCTTTTTCTGAGTTTATATCTCATAACTCTTGTTTTTTTGCAATGCTGATGAAAAAAGATTCAGAATTGTGAGATAAAAAGTCACAATTACCTGTTTTGTGGCAGAAACAAAAAAATGATCAGCGAGATGTAAACTCTTGAGAAAGTCAGAGTTTATATCTTGCAATTTTTTTTCTCTAAATTGCTAGCTGATTTCTTGTAATTTTGAGTTAACATCTTGCAATTTTGCCTTTTTCAGAATTTCGAGTTTATCACAATTCTGAGATTATATTTTGCACATTTCTTTTTTTTCTCAGAACGGTGTCAAAATTGTAAGATATATGTCAGAATTACCTTTCTAGTCTTTTATTTCGTGGCAAAAACAAAACAGAATTGTGAGATATAAAGTCAGAATTGCGAGAAAAGAGTCACAGTTACTTTGTGTGTTTCTTTATTCCGTATCAGAAACAGGCTTCCATTAGTGCTGGTTCTCTCAGTTCCGTGACTCTCGTCCTGCAGCGTTTGTGTGAGTGTGTGTGTGTGTGTCAGTGTGAGTGTGTGTCAGTGTGAGTGTGTGTGTCAGTGTGAGTGTGTGTGTCAGTGTGAGTGTGTGTGTGCGCACGTGTGAGTGTGTGCGTGTGTATCTGTGTGTGTCTCACCCGTGTCCTGAGTCGGTGTGTGAATCTGTGTGTGTGTGTGTGTATCTCTGTGTGTGTGTGTGTGTATCTCTGTGTGTGTGTGTGTGTATCTCTGTGTGTGTGTGTGTGTATCTCTGTGTGTGTGTGTGTGTATCTCTGTGTGTGTGTGTGTGTATCTCTGTGTGTGTGTGTGTGTATCTCTGTGTGTGTGTGTGTGTGAGTGAATCTCACCCGTGTCCTGAGTCGGTGTGTGAATCTGTGTGTGTGTGTGTGTGTGTGTGTGAGTGAGTCTCACCCGTGTCCTGAGTCGGTGTGTGTGACACCTGTCCCTGTGTGAATGCGTTGAGCACCGCTACACTCCCGTCTGCTAGCGTGGGCGCTGATGCGTACATGAGCGTGTGTGGGCTGGGATACATCATGTGACCCGTCATGGAGGTGGGCACTGAGGTGGTGACGATGGCTGGCAGACTGACTGCAGCGGAGACACAGAGAAGCGTCACTGACAGCAGGAGGCAGCGTCGCACTGAGGAGACTCGGAGCAGTATTACTTCATCAGCTTTACACAAAATACGAAGGAACATTTTTCACCTTATATATATATATATGTATGTATCTGCTTTAATGCACTTATCAAAATAATTAAATCAATAAAATGAGAAAAGTTTTGGTTTTCAAATTTTTTTTTTTTTCAATTCAATTAATTTTTTTAAACACAATATCTGTAATTTTCTGTGGTTGTTTGGATGCAGTAAAAGCAGAAAACATCAGGCTCATGTTTTGATTTTCTTCCGTCTCTGGCCGTAATTCAGAATTAATCATCAAATAATGTAATGCATGTGAAACGGGCTGAGAATGGGTCAAAGAGATGTAATCAGGCTCAGATTCAGACAGGAATCATGTGTTCGTGGTGTTTTTCTGCTGATTCGTGTAGAATACAAGACTTCTTCACCACACTAATGCTTGTCGAAAGCAAAGATGAAACTAAATGCATCATGTTTAGTAAGAAAGTGTGATATGAAAGAGCAAAGAAGACAATATTTTTGCAATCAGTAGCCCAAAATTAGAAAGAAACAAGTAGTGTGTGTGTGTATTTGGTTCTGTGTCTGTGTGTGTGTGGGTGTGTGTGTGTGTGTGTGTGTGTGTGTGAGTGAGTCTCACCCGTGTCCTGAGTCGGTGTGTGTGACATCTGTCCCTGTGTGAATGCGTTGAGCACCGCTACACTCCCGTCTGCTAGCGTGGGCGCTGATGCGTACATGAGCGTGTGTGGGCTGGGATACATCATGTGACCCGTCATGGAGGTGGGCACTGAGGTGGTGACGATGGCTGGCAGACTGACTGCAGCGGAGACACAGAGAAGCGTCACTGACAGCAGGAGGCAGCGTCGCACTGAGGAGACTCGGAGCAGTATTACTTCATCAGCTTTACACAAAATACGAAGGAACATTTTTCACCTTATATATATATATATGTATGTATCTGCTTTAATGCACTTATCAAAATAATTAAATCAATAAAATGAGAAAAGTTTTGGTTTTCAAATTTTTTTTTTTTTCAATTTAATACATTTTTTTAAACACAATATCTGTAATTTTCTGTGGTTGTTTGGATGCAGTAAAAGCAGAAAACATCAGGCTCATGTTTTGATTTTCTTCCGTCTCTGGCCGTAATTCAGAATTAATCATCAAATAATGTAATGCATGTGAAACGGGCTGAGAATGGGTCAAAGAGATGTAATCAGGCTCAGATTCAGACAGGAATCATGTGTTCGTGGTGTTTTTCTGCTGATTCGTGTAGAATACAAGACTTCTTCACCACACTAATGCTTGTCGAAAGCAAAGATGAAACTAAATGCATCATGTTTAGTAAGAAAGTGTGATATGAAAGAGCAAAGAAGACAATATTTTTGCAATCAGTAGCCCAAAATTAGAAAGAAACAAGTATTGTATTTCATTCAGCAAATATAATCCAGGGCAGTGATATAGCTGGCAAAAAAAAATAAAACGCTAAAAACATTTTGTAGCCAAGGAAACGTTTTCATTTAGTTTAACTTAAAGTAAAAGTAAATGTAAAAAAAAAAAAAAAATGCACAACAAAATTTAAAAAAACTTTAAAGAAGAAAATAATATATAGATTAAAACTTTAATTAGAAATTGTAAAATATATATGTATTTGTATTATATAGTTTTATATATAACTTTGTGTGTGTATATATATATATATAGTAACTTTTAGCTTTGTTGTGCATTTTTTGACATTTTTATTTATTTTTTAAATATGTGTGTGCGTGTACATTTATTATGTCTATATAAATAAACACACATGAATGTATATATTTCAGAAAAATAGGTTACGTTTATTTATTAAATATATTTATTTATAATATAAATTATATGAATATAAATGTAAATACATGCCTATATATTCAAAATATATACTGTATGTGTGTGTATTTATGTATACATAATAAATATACACAGAACACACACATATATTATGCAAACAAAAACTTTTATTGATTAATCATTTGACAGCACTAATATATATATATATACACATATACCTATTTTTAAAAAAATGGACAAAAAATGCACAACAAAGTTACTAAAATTTTACCTAAGCAGACAATAAAAAACTTTAACTAAAGCAGAAAATATATAAATGAAAGTATATGCAGTATGTGAGTGTGTGCTGTACCTGTGGAGGCTGTGCTGCTGTGAGAGAGCTCTGGACTGCTGGCGCTGGTGCTGATGCAGCTCGAATGGCCGCTGGACTGGACCTGGATGCTCTGGAGCTGCTGCGGCATCACTCCGCCTGACACACACACACACATACACACACACACACACACAAAGACGCAGACGCAGACGCACAAACGCACACGCAGACACAGACACAGACACAGACACAGACACAGACACAGACACAGACACAGACACACACACACACACACACACACGCGCGCATACACACACACACACACACGCACACACACACAGACACACACACAGACACACAGACAGACAGACAGACACACACACACACACACACACACACACAGTGAGAGAGCTCTGGACTGCTGGCGCTGGTGCTGATGCAGCTCGAATGACCGCTGGACTGGACCTGGATGCTCTGGAGCTGCTGCGGCATCACTCCGCCTGACACACACACACACATATACACACACACACACACACAAAGACGCAGACGCAGACGCACAAACGCACACGCACACGCAGACACAGACACAGACACAGACACAGACACAGACA